AGCGAGATTACCTCAGACGCCCCGAGGGCAGTAACAGCGAGATTACCCCAGACGCCCCGAGGGCAGTAACAGCGAGATTACCCCAAACCCCCCAAGGGTAGTAACAGTGAGATTACCTCTAGCACCTAAGGCTGGTCGTGGCCCAATCTCCATCGGTCTTGTGCCAGGGGGTCCTTGCTGCATTTGAACCATTTCCTGTTGCTGCCTCTCCTGTTCCAGTAATGCAGCAGCCTGTCAGAGTCAGGGAGATGAGCGCATGTTAGACCAAGCGGAGGTAGGAAGGGCACCCTCAGATAGTCAGCCTGTCAACATCTTTGGAGCCCACCCCTCCATATCCGATTCACCAGGCTGTTGGGCAGATACAGGGGCCCACATACTGTCAAACACAGATGGGACATCCTCCATGAAAGACACACACCTCTCATTGACAGCACATCCTGCATGTGTGTGCAGAGACACCCCACTCCCCTTCATTCAGAAACAGACAGGCATCCCCTCCCACAGCTCACTAAAACCATGCCCTATACCCCAAAAAAAAAAAAACCCTTACAGCCAGAACAGGACCTAAGACCCTCCAACCACCCTATAGCAAGACTCAGACACCCCTTACAGTCTGACCCAATTCCCCACCCATACAACAGTGAGACCCAGACACACCTTTACACCCTGTCCCATATACATACCCAAATGCCCCACCCACACACTCGACTCCCCTCCCCCCCCCAACCTTGTAAACCCTAGTCCACAACATGCACACACCTATCAACCGTTTGTCGTGTGAGCCCACACAGATTTGCTGCCGTATTAGTCAGACCCAAACACATCCCCACAACACCAGTCAGCCCAACACACACCCACTGCCACCCTACTCCTGTGCAGACTGCCCTACACACACACACACACACACACACACACACACATAGACACACACACACACACACACACACACACACACACACACACAGCCACTGCCTGTCCCCCATGTGACAGGAACCTCACATCGATGGGTCCAGGTAAAGGCTTCAGAGCCTGTTCATTCCTCCTGGACTATTACCCGTTTCTGCTGCTCGAGCAGCTCCTGGTCTTTCATCTGTTCATCCAGTGTCCGCTCACCGCCCTGGAGAAGAAACAGGCCACAGATTGAGAAAAACCACCTCCAGATGCTCCAACCGACAGCCTCCTTGTACCTAACCTACTCCGCCTGGTAAGCAAGGTCAGACTGTGCGTTACGAGACAACCAGGACTGATGTGTGTATCAGGAGGACTTGCAACAAACCTGACCACTAACCAAAGGATGCCGATCCAACACAGATCATGGGGGTGGGACTGGTAATAGAGGGGCTTCATTCATTGTGTAGTTTTATCAGTCTCCAGCAGGAGACCGGGAGCTGTGCACTGGTGGGTGACCTGCAGATATTGCAATGCATCATGGAGAAAGCAAGTTACATGGGTACCTTTTTGCAAGAACCTTTGAGGGACAGTCTTCAGACTTGGCCCGTGGTCAGAGACAGGAGGGATGTGACTGCAACTGAGGCAGGTAAGAGGATGCAGGAGGTGAAGATGGACGACCTTTAGCCTTTAAATTGTGACAGCCTGGGCTTGTATCCACTGGGTGTTTAGATGGGTAAGAGACCACTTAATCAAAATGGGGAAGGTGGGTGGGTGGGGGGTGTCAGGGGCGGGCGCAGGGAGTGCTGTGTGAAGAGGATGTGGGATAATCATGAACTCCCAACAGGTTCAAGCTTCTTACAGGCTGTATAGATGACAGTGGGCACTGCAGGGTGAATGAGCAAACTGGCCTTGGCACCAGGGCACAGGAAACCATTTCATATTGCCAGGGTGGGTGAGTGTGAGTGTGTGTGGCGGGGGGTGTATTAGCAGGAATGCAGTGAGAATAGGGGACAGCGTAGTCACAGGGATAGATAGACACACACACACACACACACACACACACACACACAATTGGACAACAGCCAGTGTCAGGCTTCAGGAATATCTACTCAGGACTTTCAGAATCTAGTGACTGGTGCCTGTGTGGGCCATGACCATATGTTCAGAACTGGGATACAGATTCTGCTTTTGGACCAGGAGCTGCTCGCAGCTAAATTATGAAGCAGATCCACAATATGGTCTGCATTATTACCGAAGAATTAACTAAATGCAAACATACAAACATGGAGGAGGCCACTCAGCCCCAATAAAATCACAGTGAATCCGATTACTCCACAATCCTACCTTCCCCTAATAAACCTTCCAAAACCACCCCAACTCCTCCTTGCTTAGCAAAAACCTTTCCTGCTCAGCCTTAAAAACATTCAAAGTCTCTGTCTTCACCCACGGCCCCCTCTCAGGAAGAAAGCTCCAAAGACTAATGGTCCTATGAGCAAAACCTTCACTTGGCCTGTGATAACTGTGAGAACCCTGATTTTTAAACAGTAACCCCCGAGTTCATGATTATCCCGCATCCTCTTCACACAGGACTCCCTGCGCCCACCCCCCACACCCCTGACATCCCCCACCCACCCACCTTCCCCATTTTGATTAAGTGGTCTCTTACCCATCTAAACACCCAGTGGATACAAGCCCAGGCTGTCACAATTTTCCCTCAACACAATTTGACCAATCCATAGGCTTGTGACCTGAAATTTGGTAACATGCCACGGTCAGAAAACGAGGTTTTAAAATATTCCTCTCTCTACCATAGCCTGTCTTCAACTCTCTCTGTGGCACTTTTCAGTGCTGACCTTCGATGAGCTAGTCGACTGTTGGAGCTCGTGCCGAGAGGGATGTGGGATGTACTGCAGAGGTTGGAACACACAGGTTACCAGAATATAGTCTGCTCAGTTAGAATGCTAATCCCTATATTCGCCTAGTAAACCTTCTCCGTGCTGCCTTCTACACATTTACTTCCTTCTTAAATAAGGAGACCAGTTCTCTATACTGCACTCCAGATGTGTTCTCACCAGTGTCCTGTACAACTGAATCCTAACCTCCCTACCTTTGTATTTAATTCCCTTTGCAATCAGTGCTAACATTTTATTACAGAAATTGCTGGAAAAGCTCAGCAGGTCCAGCAGCATCTGTGGAGAGGAATCAGAGTTACTGTTTCAGGTCCAGTGAACCTTCTTCAGAACAGTTGAGGAAGGGTCACCTTGACCCGAAAAATTTTAGCATTTAGCAACTTTACCTTCACCCCGGTCAGGGATAAATGTGTGGATCAAAGACTGGTACAGAAGAAACGGGTTTTCAATGCATTGGACAAAAACAGAAATTTTGAGAAGACTGGTAGCTCAGGTTGCAGACTTGCTCGCCTAGCTGGTGAGTTTGGTTGCAAAAGTTTCGTCCCGCTGCTAGATAACATCATCAGTGCGCCTTCGGTGAAGGGTCGGCATTCTGTCCCACTTGTTATTTGTATGCCTCAGTTTGCTGGGGTGGTTGGTATTACTTCCAGTTTTGTTTCTCAGTGGTTTGTACAGAGGGTCTAATTCAATGGGTTTGTTGATGGAGTTCTGGTTGGAATACTAGGCCTCCAGTTATTCCCTGGCACGTCTCCGTTTGGATTGTTCGATTATGGATGTGTTGTCCCAGTCGAATTCGTGTCCCTCGTTGTCCTTGTGTAGTGAGACAAGTGAGAACTGGTTGTGTCTCTTCAGCGGCTAGTTGCTTTTCGTGTATCCTTATTGTCAGGCTTTTTTTTCCTGTTTGGCCTATGTAGTGTTTTTCACGGTCCTTGCATGGTATTTTGTATAATACCCCAGTTTGTTGGTTTTGGGTATGGGATCCTTTACATTTGTCAGTAGCTGTTGGTTTGTGGGCTACCTGGGGGTCTGAGTAGAATTGTGGTCATCTCTGACATGTCCTTCATGTATGGTAGGGTGATTAGTGAGTCTGGTCGTGTTGTGTCTTCCTGTTGTGGTCTGTCTCGGAGGTAACAGCGGATCATGCTTTTTGGGTATCCGTTTCTTTTGAAGACGCTGTATAGGTGCTCCTGTTTTGCTTTGTGTAGTTCCAGATTGCTGCAATGTGTTGTGGCTCGTTTAAATAGTGTCCTGATGCAGCTCCGTTTGTGGGCGTTGGGGTGGTTGCTAGTGTAATTGAGTATTTGGTCTCTATGTACGGTCTTTTTATATACACTAGTCTGGAGTTCCCTGGTGTTTTTGCGTTCTACCATTATGTCCAGAAAAGGTAGTCGGTTGTTGTTCTCCTCTTCTTTCATGAATTTTATCCTGGTGAGGATGTTGTTTATGCGTCGGTGGCTTTCTTCTAGTTTTGTGCGTTTAATAGTCCCGAAGATGTCATCTACATATCGGACCCAAAGTTTGGGTTGTATAGTGGGGAGCGCTGTCCGTTCTAACCTTTGCATTACTGCTTCTGCAATCAGTCCTGATATTGGGAATCCCGTTGAGTTGTTTGTATATGCTGTCGTTGAAGGTGAAGTGGGTTGTGAGGCACAGGTCTAGTAGTTTCATGGAGGTGTCCTTATTGATGTTGCTGGTGTGCTGGGTTACCTGCTTACTTGATTCGTCCAGGAGTGTGGCAATTGTTTCTTTGGCTAGGTCAATGTTTATGGATGTAAATAGTGCTGTTACGTTGAAGGATATTATCATCTCATCTTCTTCTATCCTGGTGTCCTTGATGATGTTGAGAAATTCTTGGGATGAGTGGATGGAGTAGGTACTGTTGTGCACCAGGTATTTCAATTTCTGTTGTAGTTCTTTGTCTCACTACCAGGCACACCGACATATAGACTTGCCAAAGGACACGAATTTGACTGGGACAACACATCCATAATCAAACAAGACAAACAAAGACGCACCAGGGAACTCCTGGAGGCCTCGCATTCTAACCGGAACTCCAGCAATAAGAGGTAGCACTAAGGCAAGTGGTGATCAGAGTATGACAGGAACATGACAGAGCAGGGCTAGAGATTTCCAAACTCGTAAAAGGATGAAACCGAAGGCTCTGTAGCTGAATAGCATTTGTAACAAAACAGATGAATTGATGGCACAAATACAAATTAATATTATGCTTTTTTAGTCATTACAGAGTTATGACTACAAGATGACTAAGATTGGGACCTGGATATTCAAAGGCACATGGCATTCAGATAGCTAGGAAAAGGTTAGGGGTACGGGTGGCTCCGTGAATTAAGGATGGCATCAAGCAAGGGAGGGGTGAGCTTGGTTCTGGAATCAGAACGTAGAATCAGATCAGGTAGGGATAAGGAACAGTAAATATAAGAAGTCACCAGTGATAGTGGTTTATAAGCTCCCCCAACAGTAATCAAGACTGTAGTAGGGGATGCACACAAAGAAACATCACAGCCTTTGAGAAAAGTGTGGTGATAATTATAGGCGATTTGAATTTAATACGTAGTGCAGATGAATCAGAGCATCGTGGGTAGCCTGGATCAGGGGCGTTTTCAGAATAGCTTCTTACAGCAGAACATTTCACTGTCTCCCAGGTAGCAGATTTGGTAAAATGCAATGAGACAGAATTAATCTCAGGGAGGAGGAGATGAGAAAGAAAGAGCTATATAGCAAAACTGAATCTGGAAAAGGATTCAGGAAGAAAGATGGAAGAATGGTTTATAGTGGACATTACTATCCCACCACAGAATCATAGAGATATAAAGCACAGTCCAACCCGTCCATGCTGACCAGATATCCTAAATTAATCTAGTCCCATCTGCCAGCATTCGGCCCACATCCCTCTAAACCCTTCCTATTCGTATACCCATCTAGATGCCTTAACATGACGGGCCAAATGGCCTTCCTCTGTGTTGTAACTGCTATGACCTTGTGCTGATATTTTACTGAGAAGCTCGGGAATGCTGCTGTGTGGAGAAGCTGGGCTAATCTCACTTCTGTAAAGGCCAGTTCAAGCACACCCCATGCCCCTGCCCGCTCGCACTGCAACACCAGCCAACAGCTGCCCGCTCACCTGCTTAGCCTGCTCCTCCTGTTGGATCAGGATGGCTGCCTGCTGCTGTGCGAGTTTGAGACGCTCGTCCTCGGACAGAGTAGATGGGTCAACCGAGGGCATGTGGAGGCGGGGACCCATTCCAGCTGGGACAACTCCCATGGGGAAAGCCATCTGCATTCCAGGCATGCGATTCAGCCCCATTGTGCGAGGGGGCAACTGCATTCCGGGCACCTGGCAAAAGGGGAAAAGGTGAGGTTAGAGGGATCAGAAAGGGCAGTAACACAAAGGCACCAGAGCTTCCTGCAGCCACAAAACAGCTGAGATCAACAAACTAAACCTTCTAATACAGACTAGTCATTCCCCAGGGAGCTGAGCATCAACTCTGTCCTCTCCCCATTCTGGAGAGAACCAGCCTTTTTATTTTTCTGGTTTTAAACATTGTGGACTGAAACGAGAAAGGATTGTTTTAAAAACCAAGGATTGCTGCATAGTTTGAAAGTATGTCATTATGAACACTGTTTGTACAGCTGTGGGTCACAGCCATGTTCACAGATAAACTGCAGCCGTGGGGCTTCGATCGGCAATAAGAAGTCGATTGGTCTATGGACTAGTGACCAGTTAGTGAAGGCAAAGGCCTTTTGTCCGATAATACTCGTAATGGAACAAGATCTCCACTAGCTCAGGAGCTGTCTCCCTGTTCTCCGCAGTCAAAAGCCACTTTAAACCTGATGAAAAGCAGTTGCTGTAGGCAGTGGCATTTAATTGCAAAGTCAGTGAGCTTTAATAACCACGAGGCATTTGGAAAAGGAAGGCAGAGAAGCAACCTTCTGACCAGCGAGGACCCAACTCAACACATCGTGTGAACAAGGACTACAGAGCTCCCAGTTTTCCCCCATCCATGTTTATTTTCAAATCTATGTAAGGGGGAGCGCGTAAAAGGGTTAGAATTTTAAGTAGCAGTTTTCTGCCGATGGGTTATAATTGTTTACCTGTAACTAGAGTCCATTTACTCAGAATGAATAGTCAGGTTGGCTAATTACAAAAAGTCTGGTTTATACTCTGTCAACCTGGCTTTTAAAGACAGAGATTCCCCAGTTTCCCTAAGTACTAATCACTGTGTCGACTCCATGACTAGCAAGGCTCAATTCTCAGGACGAAGGGAGTAGTATTTCTTATAGGCTCCTCTCTTGCCTCCATACACCACCCCCTCCCCCCCCCCAACCCAACATCACCAATGACTCAGTGATTCAAATATGGGAGGTCATGTGACTTCCAGCCACCAGCTACGCTGTATCACGGAAAGTTGGGGGGAGGGGTGTGTGAGGGAACTGCTTTACTTCAGAACCCTTCCTTCCTCAAAGGTGCACCCCACCAACTGTTTGTGATCCTATTTTAACACTGGAAAACGAACACGAGTGTAGGCACCAGCCAACAGCACAGTAACAGCGAGGAAATAATTGTCAATGTTTGTAAATTAAAATACCACATCACAGAAATATGAAAATATGAGCTCTTTACAGTGTTTTATAAAAATGTTATTATTTTACGCACTCATGTAGTTTCAGCTGAGCCCTCGATGTTCTCTGGTGACATGAGAATCTGAACGTCCTCTCCTCCTGCTTCGTGCCACAGGACGACGTTGCTCATGTCCTTCTCCACATTGTGCCCGACAAAAATGGCAGCTACAGAAACTTCCTGTTTCTCATCAAAGATGGCAGCTACAGAAACATCCCATTTCCCATTGCCCCCTAGAAAGATAGCAGCCATTATTCCAGGCTCACCACCAGGAGCCCTGTAGGTGCTGCTGCATTTGGAAACTTCTCTTGGAGATTTGTGGCATAAACCTCCCTGCCCGTCCAGCTTTGGAGAGACAGCGAGGGTGGGGTAGGGCAAGGGCTGGCTCTGAGAGCCAGTACTAGACACTGACTCAGGAGGTTCAGAAGCTGGAAACCCCTACAACTCACCTGGTCTGGGAAGCTCTGTCCCTAACACCACTCCCTTCTGCATTCCAGCTTACCTGCCCTGGCAGGGGTGGCATTGGGTGCCCCTTGTCCATGTCGTCACCCCGGTGAGGTCGAGTCAGGACCACACCATTCTGTAAAGGCAAGAGGCAGACGGTGAGGCGTATATCACTGGTTTGCTGTTACAAACATCAGAGTCAACAATGTGACTCACCAAACAGAGCAAACCACCAACATCTACCAGGTAACCATCAGGAATCCTCAGCGAGGAAACATGTACTGGAGTAGTACCCACCGCAAATGTTCAAAATAGACCGTGTCTGTATTCCTGAGGCTAGACGGTGAGGGGCCTGTTCACACTGTAACAGGGGAAAAATTGCTGCTTACAAAATCCAGCTCAAACCAATTAATTAGGAGGCTTGTTCACAGGTTGTATCTCAGATTAATAACCATGGACATTTATATCAATAAACAACTCTTGAAGAATTCAAGAACAGGTATATCAGGTGATTTTTAGAATGTTCCCATCAGATTGGCGATTAGAAAATTTAACAGTTGAAACAGGGAAAACACTGGAATTGATTATTTAAAAGGTAAGAGCAGGGCACTTAAAATCTCAATGCTATTGGGCAGAGTCAACATGTACTTGTGAAAGGGAGGTCATAACTGACCAGTTATTATAGAGCTTGTTAAAGCTGTAACATGGATAAAAGGAAACCTGTAGACATGTTATGGTTAAGATTTCCAGAAGGCACTTGACAAGGCATTTCAATGATTATTGCAGAAAGTTCAAGCTCACAGTGTCAGGTTTAACATATTGGCACGGATAGAACATTAGCTAGCCAACAGGAAACAAAATGAGGATACATGGATCATTTTCTAATTATCGAAATGTAACAAGTGGTGTGCCACTGGGGTCAGTGCTAGAGCATCAACTTTTTACAATTTATAGAAATTACTTCACGAAGGGACTGGATGGATGGTTGCTAAATTTGCTGATGGCATCAAAGTTGGTACGAGAGCTGGATGGAGAGATGGAGAGTCTGCGAAGGGATATAGTCAGGTAATGATGCAATGAAATACGGGGAGGTGTGGATTTGTACATGTTGGCAGGAAACACAGAGAAACAGCATATAGTGAGAGCACGAGAGAGAAGAACCCAGGCATGCAGAGGGATCTGGGTGTCCTGGTAGATGAACAACAAACTATTAATATGCGGGTGTAGCTAGTGATTAGGGAGGCAAACGGAATGGTGGCCTTTATTGTGAGGGGAATGCATATAAAAGTAAGGATGTTTTACTGTGGCTGTACAGGGCCCTGGTGAGGTCATATCTGGAGCAGTGTGCAGTTTTGCTCTCCTTATTTAAGGAAGGAAGTAGATGCATTAGACACAGTTCAATATTGAAGCATCACAACCCTAAGGGGAGAGAATCCCAAAGATTCACAATGCTCCGAGTGAAGATATTTCTCCTCCTCTAATCTTGTAATTGAGGCTCCCAGCCAGGAGACAAAGTCTCTCCGTGTCTGTCGAGGAGGTGCTGTGAACAGGAAATCAGCGCAGTTGAGGAGGACACTAACCAGGTCCTGGAAGAGGTGGCTGCACTCACCTGTAAGCTGTAGTTCTGTAGGCGCTCAATAAGTTCCTCTCGTACACCTTTCAAAACAAAAAACACACACGTATTATGTGAGGAAGCACAGAAACAAACCAGCAGTACCACAGATCATTTACAGATGAGGGAGATGAATGTTTGACCTATTGGGGAGCTGAGGGTTGCGTGAAAGTGGAGTGGAGCCTTGAAGCTGATCAGCCATGCTCTTACTGAATGACAGGGAGGGACTGAGGAGCAATGAATGAGCAACTTCATTTCAAACCATCAAGATGCTCCTCCACTCCCTCTTCCCTACGTAATTATTTAACACTCCTCTAGGTAACATCAGTCAGTTACAGGGCTCAGACCTGCAGCACCCATGGGGAATGAGGAGCATTCTGTTTGCACTATCAGCACCTCATGTTAGCTCATATGCCACCTGCCAGGACAGACCACGCTCCCAAACGGTTTCTCTATTGGAAGGAGAGCTCATGTCCATCACGGCCCAAGAAGGACTGCCATACAATACCCCGAGGGGTGTACGATACACAAAATAAGAAGGACACCATCATGGGAACGTGCCATTTCTCAGATACCCATGCCTCCCACTGCATGTCTCAGCAAGAAGGTAGATAGCGGCTTCAGACTTTGTTACTTAATAGAGGGTGTAACATGTACAGATAGTGTACAGTATCAAGCTGGGGGGAGCAGGGGAAAAGTTACACCTGACAATAAAGGAACAGTAAAAGGAGGTGCTCAGTTAATGATTCAGATGGTGACCTCAGTCAGGGAGCTCCCTGACTGTAACGATCACAGGCGCTGCGCCGTACTTCCAGGAGAGGTAAGTGTTTTCAAATCTTATTAAAGGATGTGGAGCAGAGACACAAAAATGGAGCAGGCTGTTGTTTAAAAATAAACCCGGCTAATGTCCATTTAGGGAAGGGAAACTGCCATCCTTACCCAGTCTGGCCTACATGTGACTCCAGACTCTCAGCAACATGGTTGGCTTTTTACCACCCTCTGAAATGGCCAAGTGAGACAGTCCAGAGGGGTGCTGACATCCCTCTTCGAGAGACAGTTGTGATGGCCCCACCAATGATGCTCACAGCCCACGAATGCACTTTTAACAAAACCTAACACTCAGGAAGCAGCAGGTTTGGTGATTTGGATTTGGGAGTAGTCTTGTTCTTCCAGAGTTGCCACGGGATTTTTCATTTTATTTGAAGTCATTTACAGGATCAGAGGTTATTGCCCATCCATATTAGTCCCAGAGGTAGTGGTGGTGAGGTGTCTTATTGAACTGCAACAGTCCATGTCCACAATGCTCTTAGGGAGTGAGTTCCAAGATTTTGACCCAGCAACACTGAAGGAATGACAATATATTTCCAAGTCAGAACGGTGAGTGGCTTGGAGGGGGAGCATGGAGGGGGTGGTTTTCCCATGTATCTGCTGCCCTTGTTCTTCTTGATGGAAGTGGCTGAGAGTTTGGACAGTGCCACCTAAGGAGCTTTGGTAAGTTGTTGACAAGGTAGAAGAGAGGAATCTCAGACATAATGCTTCCCAACAGCAAGCCAACATCTTGTCCTAAAGACAAGTACCATCAACAATACAGCAGCACTCCCTTGGTACTGCACTGAATGGGACTCGTGAATCAAGCCCTAGAAGGGTTATCCCTATGACCCAAAGTCTGAACTCCCCCTTCTCATAAAAGGACATTTTCCCGGTAAATTTCAATGTCACGCCAGAAGCACTTATCATCCAAAATAAAAACTTAGATTTTATAGAGAGAAGGACAGGCCACCCAGCCCTTTCAACCTGCTCCACCATTTAATGTGATCACAGCTGAACATCCAACTCCTGCTTTCTCCCCATACTCTTTGACACCCTTAGCCCTAAGAGCATAATCTCCGTCTGATGCAAAACTTGAACTACCGAAGCAAAATAATGTTCATAAAAAAAAACGCAAGACTGAAAACAAAAAATGCCAGGGATCACAACAGGTCAGGCAGAATCCATGGAGAGACAGCAAGCTAACAACACCTCTGATAAACAGTCATCTAGACTCAAACCATTAGCTTCCTCTTTCTCTCCATGGAAGCTGCCTGACCCACTATAATCTCCAGTATTTTTTGTTTTCAGCACAGATTCCACCATCTGCAGTAATTTGCTCCTACGTACATTCAAAGCAACATTGCTCTCTAACCACAAACATAAAAACCATTGATAAAAGTCAAATCAGTAATAGTAACTAATAAAGTTCTATTACTGCGTTTAATGATATAGTTTGAATACAGGTTTTTTCAAAACTTTGTCATTCTACAATTCACTAAAGATCACTTTGTTCATCATGTTTGTTAATTATTCATTTAAGGATAAGACAGACATTAAAAAAACACAAAAAGTCAAAAATTTTCCACCTTGCGCTCATCAGGACTAGGCCACAAGAAAACCCAATTTCAAAAGGGAACACCAACTTATATCAGTGAGAGGAGAACACGGTGGAGCCTGGTTAATGAAACTACCAATTATTCATTAATTTAATAAACTTCCATTTCTTTTTGATAAAATTAATTAACTTACCAATAATCAAGACTACTTTGTCAATGCTTTGATTCAATTAAATGAATTTTATTCATGAATTTAGGGAAATTAAAGTCCAAACTAAGTATTTTAATGATAGCACGGTGAATGTTAAGTGCCTGTGGCATTTTTTAGCCATATTTTTGCTTAGGCCAGGGTTCATTGAGACCCATCAGGCCTCGCAGCCGGCCTCCAGGAGCTGGAGCCCGAGGGGAAGGGGAAGCTACACACTCAAGGCCGAGGCTTCAGGGGGCGCTAGGCCCGAGTCCGGCTGGAGAGGGAAAGCGGTGAATTCCGGTGCGGATTTTACCTTGGGTCGGGAAGCCGATCTCGTTGAGCTTGGCCTGCAGCTCCGGGATGCTCCAACTGCCTAGATCCGGCACTTCGACACCAGGAGGAGCGTCCGCCATCTCGGTCCCAGCAATATCACCGCCTACTACTCCTCCCGCTTCTCAACCAAACCCGGGGATAGGTGGGTCTCCGCTCAAGCCCCGCCCATCTCGCACGGCAGTGGTCGAGCTGCAGAGCGCCGCCGAAGGTTTCAATTCCCATTGGATTTGGTGATGTCAATCGAACGTGAAGGCCCCGCCCTCCAGCGCGCAGCAAGTTCGGCTGTTGCCCCACTCGCCTGTCAATCAGCGGCGGCGCCGCCGCGCCTGCGTGGTGCCCACGGGATGCTGGGATTTGTAGTTCCTGTTCCCGGCCTACAACCTACATGGCGGCGTCCATGCTGGTGGACACATCCTGCAGCAGCTTATTCTAAAACTTTCAGGGTTTCTGTGGATTGTGAGTATCTAGGGAGGGGAATCTGTAAGTTTCCTTCTGTATTTTCAAAGTTATTTGGAAAACCACCAACAAACCCAGCTTCTGCACTAAGTCCAGACATGAATTTTGAATTGTATCTTTGCTTTCTCCTGTTGGCTGCTAGTTATAAAGTTTTTCATTTTTAACCTGTTATTTCTCTCAGCATCCTTTAGTCCTTAGGTTCTTCTTATAGGGATATTTCTCTGTTTTAATCTGTCCTCTCTCTCTTTCTGCACTCTTTAGCTTCTAGTTATAAAGATGTTTCTCTGTTTTAACCTGCTTTTTTCTCTCTCTCTGCATTTTTCAGTCCTTAATTTCTAGCTATAACGACGTTTCTCTGTTTTAACCTGTTATGTTTCTGTCTGAATTCAATGGTCCTTAGGTTCTCTGTTTTAACCTGTTGTCTCTCTTACTGCCTGTATGCCTCACTCTGTGTAAGCGCCCTATGATCTGTATGAGATAGCAAGGTGTAGAGCTGGATGAACACAGCAGGCCAGGCAGCATCAGAGGAGCAGGAAAGCTGACGTTTTGGGTCTGGACCCTTCTTCAGAAATGGGGGAGGGGAAGGGGATTCTGAAATAAAGAGAGAGAGAGAGAGAGAGGGGGGGAGGCGGATGGAAGGTGGATAAGGGACCAGATGGGCGGAGAGGAGACAGACAGGTCAAGGAGGCAGGGATGGAGCCAGTAAAGGTAGGTGAGGAGTTAGGGTGGGGGTTGGTCAGTCAAGGGAAGACAAACAGGTCAAGGAGGTGGGGATGAGGCTGGTAGGTAGGAGTTGGGAGGAGTGGATAGGTGGGAGGAAGGACGGAGAGGTCAAAGAGGTGGAGGTGAGGCTGGTGGGTTGAGGTGGGAGGAGTGGATAAGTGGGAGAAAGGACGGACAGGTTAGGGAGGCCTCCCTTGACCTGTCTGTCTTCCCTGGACTGACCAACCCCTACCCTAACTCCCCACCTACACTCACCTTTACTGGCTCCATCTCCGCCTCCTTGACCTGTCTGTCTCCACTCCACCTATCTGCTCCTTTATCCATCTTAAGAACATAAGAACTAGGAGCAGGAGTAGGCCGTCTGGCCCTTCGAGCCTGCTCCGCCATTCAATAAGATCATGGCTGATCCTTTCGTGGACTCATCCACTTACCCGCGTTCTCACCGTATCCCTTAATTCCTTTATTGTTCAAAAAAAATCTACCTTTTTTTTAAAAACATTTACTGAAGTAGCGTCAACTACTTCACTGGGCAAGGAATTCCATAGATTAACAACCCTCTGGGTGAAGAAATTCCTTCTCAGTTCAGTCCTAAATCTGCTCCCTCTAATCTTGAGGCTATGCCCTCTTGTCCTAGCTTCACCTGCCAGTGGAAACATCCTCTCTACTTCTATTTTATCTATTCCCTTCATAATTTTATATGTTTCTATAAGATCCCCCCCTCAATCTTCTGAATTCCAATGAATATAATCCCAATTTACTCAGTGTCTCCTCATAAACCAACCCCCTCAACTCCGGAATCAACCTAGTGAACCTCCTTTGCACCCCCTCCAATGCCAGTACATCCTTTCTCAAGTAAGGAGACCAAAACTGCACACAGTACTCCAGGTGTGGCCTCACCAGCACCTTGTACAGCTGCAACATAACTTCTCTGCTTTTAATTTCAATCACTTTAGTGATGAAGGACAAAATTCCATTTGCGTTCCTAATTACTTGTTGTACCTGCAGACCTACCTTGTGATTCATGCACAAGGACACCCAGGTCCCTCTGCATAGCAGCATGCTGCAACTTTTTACCATTCAAGTAATAATCCTTTTTACTATTACTCCTACCAAAATGTATGACTTCACATTTATTTTCATTGTATTCCATCTGCCAGACCTTTGCCCACTCACTCAATGTATCTATGTTCCTCTGCAAAGTTTCACAGTCCTCTGCACACTTTGCTTTGCCACTCATCTTAGTGTCACCTGCAAACTTTGACACCCTACACGTGGTCCCCAACTCTAAATCATCTATATAAATTGTAAATAATTGTGGTCCCAACACCGATCCCTGAGGCACACCACTAGTCACTGACTGCCAGCTAGAATAGCACTCATTTATCCCCACTCTTTGCTTCCTGTTAGTCAACCAATCCTCTATCCATGCTAATACTTTACCCTTAATGCCATGCATCCTTATCTTATGTAGTAGCCTCTTGTGCGGCACCTTGTCAAAAGCCTTTTGGAAGTCTAGGTACACCACATTCACTGGGTCCCCATTGTCCACCTCGCTCGTAATGTCTTCTTAGAATTCCAGAAGATTTGTCAAGCATGACCTGCCCTTCATGAACCCATGCTGCGTCTGCCCAACAGGACAATTTCTATCAAGATGCCTTGCTATTTCTTCCTTGATAATAGACTCAAGCATCTTCCCCACTACAGAGGTTAAGCTAACTGGTCTATAATTCCCCATCTTTTGTCTACTTCCCTTTTTAGACAGTGGCGTCACATTTGTTGTTTTCCAATCTGCTGGGACTGCCCCAGAGTCCAGCGAATTTTGGAAAATTACTGCCAGCGCACCTGCTATTTCTCCCGCCATCTCTTTTAGTACCCTGGGATGCATTCCATCAGGGCCAGGAGACTTATCAATCCTTAGCTCCATTAGCTTGCCCAACACTACCTCTTCCGTAATAATGATTGTTTCTAGGTCCTCACCTACCTTTGTCTCTTTGTCAATTACTGGCATGTTATTAGTGTCCTCCACTGTGAAGACCAATACAAAATACCTGTTCAATGCCTCGGCCATTTCATCATATCCCATAACTAAATTCCCCTTCTCATGCTCTAAAGGGCCAACGCTTACTTTAGCCACTCTTTTTCGTTTTATTTATTTATAGAAACTTTTGCTATCTGTCTTTATATTCTGTGCTAGTTTTTTCTCATGTTCTATCTTACTTTTCCTTATAGCTCTTTTTGTGGCTTTCTGTTGACCTTTAAAGTTTTCCCAATCTTCTAGTTTCATGCTGTTTTTGGCCACTTTGTATACCTTCTCTTTCAATTTGATAGCCTCCCTTATTTCTTTAGACACCCATGGCAGATTACCCCTTTTCTTACAGTCCTTCCTTTTCATTGGAATATACTTTTGCTGAGAACTTTGAAAGATTGCTTTGAAAGTCCTCCACTGCTCGTCAACTGTCCCACCATAAAATCTTTGTTTCCAGTTTACTTTAGCCAAGTCCTCCCTCATTCTATTGTAGTTCCCCTTGTTCAAGCACAGGACCCTGGTATTGGATTTTATCTTCATACTCTCCATCTGTATTCTAAATTCAACCCTACTATGATCACTCCTTCCAACAGGATCCCTAACTATGAGGTCATTAATTATTCCTGTCTCATTACACAGGACCAGATCTAGGAGAGCTTGCTCCCGCGTTGGTTCCATTACATACTGTTCCATCCACCTCCCCCTCTCTCTTTATTTCAGAATCCCTTTCCCCTCCCCCTCCCCCATTTCTGAAGAAGGGTCCAGACCTGAAATGTCAGCTTTCCTGCTCCTCTGATGCTGCTTGGCCCGCTGTGTTCATCCAGCTCTACACCTTGTTATCTCAGATCCTCCAGCATCAGCAGTTCCTACTATCTAGGATCTGTATGTCCTTGTTTCCTATGATCTGCCTGTACTGCTCGCAATACAAAGCTTTTCACTGTACTAAGGTATATGTGAGTGCAATAAATCAAATCAAATCAAATTAAATCTAAATCTGCATTCTTTAGTTTCTAGTTATAATCTGTTTTAACCTGATATCTGATATAGCATCGGCAGTTCCTACTATCTCCTCAACCTGATATCTCTCTGTTTTTAGCTTCTGCTTATAAGGATGTGTTTCTCTGTCTAACCATTCATCTCTCTCTCTCTCTCTCTGTCCACTCTTTAGTCCTTAAATTTTAGTTATGAAGAGTGTGATTCACAGAATTGTTTCGGTACAGGAGGAGGCCATTCAGCCCATTGTGCCTGTACTGACTCTTCAACTGAGCAAACCTTGCTAGTCAAAAATCTCTCTAATGCTGCCTTAAAATATTCACTGACCCTGCCTCCACCACTCCCCTGTGAAGAGAGTTCCACCAACTTGTGACTGTCTGAGAGTCATTCCAGTGTCCACCTTATCAAATCCCACTTGTGGGTTCTGGGCATCACTGGTTTGTCCAGCATTTATTGCCCCTGTCCCTAGTTGCCCCCTTGAGGAGGTGGGGGTGAGCTGCCTTCTTGAACCGCTGCAGTCCATGTGCTGTGGGTTGACCCACAATGCCCCTTAGGGAGGGAATTCCAGGATTGTGACCCAGCAACACTGAAGGAACGGCGATATATTTCTAAATCGGGATGGTGAGGGGCTCGGAGGGGAACTTGCAGGGGTTGGTGTTCCCATGTACCTGCTGCCCTTATTCTTCGAGATGGAAGCGGTCGTGGGTTTGGAAGGTGCTGCCTGAGGATCTTTGGTGAATTTCTGCAGTGCATCTTGTAGATGGTACACACTGCTGCTACTGAGCGTCGGTGGGGGGAGGGAGTGGGATGTTTGTGGATGTGGTGCCAATCAAGCGGGGGCTGCTTTGTCCTGGATGGTGTCAAGCTTCTTGAGTGTTGTTGGAGCTGCCCCCATCCAGGGGCAAGTGGGGAGTATTCCATCCCACTCCTGACTTGTACCTTGTAGATGGTGGGACAGGCTTTGGGGGGAGCCAGGAGGTGAGCCACAGTCTCCAGCAAGATCACGTCTCGATCTTCTAAACTCTGAAGGATTCACGCCCATCCTTTCCAACATATCCTCCTCAGGCAATGCCTTCAACTCATGAATGAGTCAAGTAAACCCTCTCTGAACTTCTGCAGCTCCTTTTAATCAGGATAAACTCGGAGCAGAACAGCAGATGTGGCCTCACCAATGTTCTATACAATTGTAGCAAAGCAACCCTACTTTAACACAGTGTGGAGCTGGAGGAATGCAGCAGGTCAGGCAGCATCAGAGGAGCAGGAAAGTTCACGTTTCGGGTCGGGACCTTCTCCACACTGTTATCTGACTCCAGCATTGGCAGGTCTGAGTTATAATCCTACTTTAATATTCTGTTCTCCTTGTGATAAATGACGATGTTCCAGTTGCTTTCCCTATAACCTGCTGATTGGTGTCCCAGGACCTCCTGTTTCACACAGTTCGGCTTACTGTTCATTTAAAAATGAGCTGGTTTTCTATTCTCTCTGCCAAGGAGGACAGCCTCACATTTTGCTCTCACTGTGCTCCATGGGCCAAACTTTGCTGAATGTCTATCTATCCCTTTGCAGAACCTTCACAGCTCCTGGCAGCTTACTTTCCCCACTTCTCTTTGTGCCATCAGCAGCTGTACCTTCTGTCCCATTCAGATCATTGGTATAAATAGTTGGGGCTCGCA